CTTGGAGGCGATTCATCCCATCGTAACAGGGCTGGCTGAAACATTTGGGATCCTAGAGTTAGATGTCCAAACCTAAGTGGGATGAGCCCCAATATCTGCCTGTGAGAACACACTTGGCCATAGACTGGCCTGAGGTTGCTGGAGGAGCTGCAGAGCCAGCCCTGTTCCTCAGCTCTCTTGGTGGGACCGGAAGGGCCGTCCGTTAGCTCTGGTGTCCACACAACTCACAGCCATATGTCCCCAGGGAAAGCGTTGGTGGCTTCAGCTCCTGCCAGGCCCCTGCAGCATAAGCAGCAGCTTTGGCAGCTGCAGGCTTGCCTCTCTGACATTGAAGCCCCACACCAGAGCCCCATGGCATCACACTAGCTGGGGAAAAGGCTGCGACTAGCACCAAGCCCTTCTCGTCCTGCAGGTCAGCTCCCTCCAGGATGCTGTCATCGAGGGAGGACCATTTTCTTTTCATGGAGGACATCACTGGCTTGCGCAGCCTTTTGGTAGGCACCAGCTTACACCAACATAGAGTTGGCCGGAGAGCAAGTGGCAATTCAGCCAGGGCTTCTCTTTTGTAGCATTTCTTCCTTCCTTTTCTGCCTGCCTGGGGCCATGGCATGGAAAGGGGAGCAGTTGTCTGGTCCTCAGCTCCACTGGGAAGGGCTCCTGGGTCTGCTGCACGCTTCGGCTCCCTGGCAGCAGCGATACAATTGCTGCAAACAGCAGGAGAAGGAATGCACAGGAGTCTCCTGAGAGCATCTGTTAAAGCAAAGAGGTACAGTAAATTAAAGCAAAGAGGCATGGTAAGCAGAAAACACTCCAATGGCTGTAAAGACGACACGTCCAGGAGCTGCTCTGCCATACTCGTGCCAGCAGAGAGGATTGGTGGAACGGCAAAGCATCCTGCCTGGATGCATGGATGTACCAGTACATCTCATTTAACATGTTGGCTGATTTAGCATTACTGTTTCCACATCACATAGTATGCACGGAGCTCTGTGCAAAGGTCCTGGCTCTTTGGCACGGTCAGATGTGACCACAAAATCAGGCTGCTCACATACTCAGGTTGGAAAGACCTTGGGATGCCTCCGCCTCCAAACTCCTGCTTAATACAGTTTCAACATGGAGTTCACATCATGTTGCTTAGGACTTTCTCCAGTCAGGTCTTGCAGACCTCCAAGAATGGAGGCTGGGCCCCTCTTTCAGTTTCTGACTGTCCTTTTGTCTTACAGAGCCAATCCCTTCTACCTGGAGTCTCCGCTCCAGGTAGATTTCACATCTTTTGGATTTCACAGATCCCTCGGGCTCTGCAGAATTATAGAATGGCTTGGGTTGGAAGGGACCCTTAAAGATCCTCTTTAGTCCAACGCCCCTACAATGAGCAGGGACATCTTCAACTAGATCAGGTTGCTCAAAGTCCCATCCAACCTGACCTTGAACGTTTCCAGGGATGGGGCATCTACAATCTCTCTGGGCAACCTAAGAAGCCTTAACAAAGTCTCCCTCTGTCCACCAGAGCTTCAGGTCTGCTTCCCTGCCACCCCAACCAGCCTCCCAGGAGCCAGCCATCTTCCAGCTCTGGGCAGGCGGGCACCTCTCCCCCACTGTATGACTTTTTTTAACTTCATACATAGTGTTTGGAGGCCATCTGACAAGGAAGAAAATTGACCATCTAGTACAGCATAGCTGGCTCAAGCTGTGCAGTAAGAAAGTAGGTGGCAAGGAACAAAGTCCTAGATTAGCTCCTGAAAAGAACAATTTGGTAGAGCTGCCCACAAGATGATTCAGAGAAATTCCAGTCCTACATCCCATTTCTATAGAAAAGCAATCTCCAGCCCTACAAGATTATCTCCTAGGACTATCAGGGCATGACTACTGAGCTAACTCTAGGCTCACAAAGTGAACAGGAATAACCTTTTATTACCAATTATTTTTAATTCTTGAAATATTTTATTTTTAGTGATTTTTTTTTTAACCTGCTTTCATGATTTTGGGGTATTCTCTTGTGATTTTTACTCATTCACAGCATCAAGGAACCACTTTAAAAAAAATCAAGCCATTTTTAAGTAGCTCCTTACAAACAGCTGTAGGGGTTTTCTTGTGCCATCCAAGTGGGGAGCCTTTAGGTGACCCCACAACCAGCAACATCAAGGAAGGATAAAACTGGCTACCGCTCTTTGTCCAAATACTTGAAGGAAAAAAGAACACCCTCGGCAAGTTATATGGATTCCCAAGTAATCCAGCCGTTAAGCTCATCTATATCTGTCACTTGGGAGGTTGGTACAAACCCATTGTGGAGAAGGAGTGCAGGAGGCACGTTATGCTGGGTGTACGGATGTGAATCTTGGGTAAACTCAGCCTCGGGAAATCCAGTTCACGTTAGTTTGAGGTATTATGCCAACACAAGAGCCATGCTGCAGGCATAAGAGAGCACTGGGATTTATTCAGGTCCTATGAAAGCAAGACACACTCCAGTTTGCCCAGCAGTTTTTGCCATCTGGAGGATCTATCATGGACAATTTCTGCCCTTGAAAACTGTCCCTGGCGTTCCATGAGTCTCCAGAGATATCTTACACCCAGAAGAAGCAATTACCAACTACTCTGCTGTTTTGTTTTGCTTCTTTTTTTTCTTCCTCTCTTTTTCTCCAGAGGAAAGTTAATTACACTCCAGTGTACTGTCATATAAAATGACCCAAATTAAGTGCGGCAACTATTGGGGAAAAAATAATCCAGCCATAATGCAAATGAAGGAAATTCTGCTCTTGAGCAAAACAAGAGGGATTTGTCTCACCTGCATGTTGATATCTAAAGCGTCCCCAGAAGCCACCTCATCCTAAAGTAGAGGGTGCTAGCTAAGGAGTGGACATGTGAAGTTAAGTGAGATGATCCCCACCTGCGGTATCAAAGCCAGAGTAATTTCCAATGTTTTCTGGCTGCATTCTCCAGGGTTGGAGCACTCTTGGACAATCAAGAGTTAGGCATGAGCCCTTCAAGAAGCCATGTACCTGTGAGACCTTATCCCACACCAAGCTGGGCTGAAACAGGCTGCTAGGTTTTACTGTTAGGAGAACACAAAAATACATGCACAGATATGTGCACATACAGCATAACGCACAGCACTGTGTCCCAAAGAAGCCAAGCTGATAATTATTGCATCAGACAGTAAAGGAATTTGAAGTGTCAAATTATTTTGCCACTGCTGTTTGGCCATAAAGTTAGAGGGTGTATTCTGCATCAAGTATGAATTCATAATGCTAAACAAAAGTCACATAAAGTTCATCTCTCCTCTATAAAATGCCATAGAAATAGTGGGGTCATCCTGGCGCACCAGAGTGAGCACCTTTCTACAAAGCAAGGTCACAAAATAAGTCCTATTGGGGATCTCGGTCAGATTTTTTTGTAATTTAAGGGTCTCTATTGCAAGTGAAGAACAACAACCACCAGTAAAGGAAGCAGCTTTGGAAGCATATGTGGGTTTTCATATAAGACCTGTTACGAGGTAAGGACCATGGAGGTGTCCCATGGGACATGCTGGAGATGTGCAACTGAAGCTGTCCAGCGCTTTGCCCAGGGACCGCTCAGGGCACTGCAAGTTGAGAAGATTTGGTTGCACATGATTTGCCTCTGTGGAAGAAACCGCTTCACCCAAAGTGCTTCCAGCTACCTTGGAAGAGCAGGGAGCTGTGCTAGGGCTTGGGAGAAGCCGTGTGGTGGGAAATGCGGGGTTCACCATCAGCCTCACTGGCCATGCCTGGGGCTCCTCTGGCCCTGGCCCACGGCTGGAGCACATCAGGAAGAGGGGGGGGCATTGCCAGACCCCCACAGCACATCACCTCCTCCCCTGGGCTCTGTCAGAGCCACTCACCCAGTGCAAAGGGACCGCCAACACAGCTGTAAGGAAACAGCAAGTGTTTACTCCTTCATGTACACAAGAAGTCCTGGGAGTGGGTCTGCTGTGGGGCTCGGTGCCCATCCGCTCCCTCTTCACCTGGGACACCTCGGCAGTCGTTACTGGAGCAGTGCTCACCAGTCTGGCAGGGAACCATCGGCTCCTGAAGCGTTGGGCTGCCGGGCAGAGAGGAAGATAGCCAAAATAAGGCAGAGGGAGCAGAACACAAAGAAGAGAAAGAAGGGGAAAAGGGACAGGGGTTGGACAGGGGCATATAGCAAGAAAGGATGGGACATGGAATGGGACAGAGAAAGACAGAAAAGGTAAGGACAAGAAAAAGGACAGAGGGACAATAAGAGAAAAAAGGGACAAGGATAGAGAAAGAAGCATTAGGGACAGAGAAAAAGGCAGGAAAAAGGACAGAGGGATAAAGAAGTTGAGGGACAGGGAGCTGGAAAATGGGATACAGGAAAAAGGGAGAAGGACATTGGGATAGAGAGCAATAGGGAGGAGGACAGAGTTGGAGAAATAAAAGACAGCAATGGAGAGCAGGATAGAGGGAGAGAGAAGGGGAGAGAGGCAGAATGACAGAGGGACAGAGGTGAAGAAAGAAAAGACAGTGAAGGGCAGAACAAAAAAAAAGAGATGGCAAAAGAAAAAACGGAGATGGGGACTGGGACAGAAAGACAAAAAGAGGGACAAGGAAAACAATGGTGGGATAGGGAGAAAGAGGGACAGGGAGAAGAAAACATACTGATGGGGAGCGGGACAGAGCAAGAAAGTGTGACGAGGAAGCAGGACAGCGGGATGCAGAGAGAAAATAGTAGTGATAGGCAAGCTCCCTGCCCTGCTTTCTGGGTCCATCCTGGCTGCCTTACCCCCTGCCCACCCTCCGCCCTGCACTGCTTTGGGGGCTTTGGCTCTGCCCTGCTCCACCATCCCTCTCCCAGGCCAGTCACCCATCCCCTGCCGTCATCACCTGCAGCACTTCTGATGCGCTCAATAGCCTCACAGTGGCCGTGACCTCACTGTCCCCATCCTGTCCCCAGGGGACAGGAGGGCTGCAAAGGGCTGCATGTGCTCCCATGGCCCTGACCCCAGCCCCACCACGCTGGATGCCATGGGGCTGGCTCGGCACAGCTGGCTCCCCCTGCTCTGGGCCAGCGGCTGCCTCCTGCTCCTGACGGTCTGGGCCGCCCAGCACTGCCGGCGCAGCACCTCTGGCAAATGGCACCAGGTGGGAGGGAGGCTGGCCAGCAACAGGGCCCCTGCTCCGCAGGAGGGTCCCTGGCCTCATGGGAAGCGGGGCTGGCCAGGACCCACACGCAGTGCGGGTCAGGGCTCGGCCGAGGTGACTGAGCCAGCTGTGCCCACAGGTCCCTCCCTGCAGCCGAGGGCGGTGGTGGAGGCTGGCAGAAGCCCAGGACCCAGGTGAGGCCATGCTCTTCCCCCGTGCCAGGGACAGTGTCCCCAGCTGGCCCTACTCATGGCCCCCGCAGCTGAGCTGCTGTCACAGCCCCACATCCATGAGAGATGTGGTTTTCCTGGGATTTGCTATAGAAGAAGCACCATCCCGGGGCCCTGGGGAATCCTGTCCCTCCCTTATGACCAGCTGTGTCCCTCTTCCTCTCCCATGGGCCCTGCTGGGAAGAGGAACAAGGAGGGGATGTCTGTGGGGCTGATGCATCCCTCCCACTCCCAGGGGTGAGGATTGCCCTGCTCCCCAACCCCAGCACGGCTCCGCTCTCCACAGCGCAGCATGCTCACCCTCTGCATGGTGCCGGGACAGTCCTGGGATCGCTCCAGCTGCTGGGATTCCCGGTGCGCAGGCTGCTGCTCAGGGCTGGGCTGTGCCTATGCCTGACAAAAACTGGGCTCAGCCATGAGGCCTCTGCTCAGGGCGCTGCACCCCCCGGCTGCGTTGCAGGAAAGAAGACACAAGCATGCGTCTGCGGGGCCGAGGTCCTCGATGCCCGCGGCAGGTCCCTGGGCCGGTTCCTGTGCTACGACCTTGGCTGCGTGCAGTGCAGAGAGGCCACCCGGGAGAGGCGGCGGCAGCGACGTGCAGCAGAACGAAGCCCCTGGACCGCCCGACGGTGGAACTCTCCTTCCTCGCCTGGGTGCAGGTGCTGGCAGGGGCACAGCATGCAGAGGATAGTCCTTCCTCGGCACCGGAGACAGCCCCACAAGAGGGCAGAGGCCCTGGGGCCACTCAGTCCAGCCACAGCCCACCCCAGCCTCCACCTTGGTAGCCAGGCGGACAAGCTCACAGGTCCAGTGCCCTCGGTGCTGGAGGCAGATGTCAGCCACCAAGCTGGCTCACCCACCACCCTGGACTCTCACACAACTGACAGGAGTGGTGGCCACCCACTCGATGTTGCAGATCCTCATCCCATCTTGAGGCTGGAGCTGGGAGAGGATTTCAGGAGGAGACTGCAGGCGCACATGCAGAGGAAGTACAGGCAGATCCACCTGGGAACATTCCCCGCCTTGGTGCGACGGTCCTACAAGTCATCAGCCCACAGGACGGTGCCCCTCATGTCACAGCACTCCAGCTCTGCCCCCATCTACTCCTGGACGCCAGAGGCCTTGTTCCTGATGGAGGAGACCCGGGAGCTCCACCCTGGGGCAAAGAAGCTAAGCCATGACTGGGGCTTGCCTGGGAAGTCAACAGGCTCAGCTCCCGAAGAGCACAGTGCAGAGCTGGACAGCCAGCCCCACTGTGCTCCCTGGCCAAGCCATGGGGAACCCGAGGTAGAGGATGGTCCCTGTCTCCCCTTGCACCAAACTGCCTCTGCCCTTGACCTCTCCCAGCTCAGTCTCGAGAGCCTGCAGGGCAGGACTGGGGACACGGCTGGCAGAGAGGCCGCTGGGCACCAGCGCAGCAGCTGGACACAGAGGGACTTCCAAGAGGAAGGCCGCAGCTCAAGGGACCTTCATGAATTTGTTCACAAATAAATACACAAACCAAAAGATGGCACTCAAGATAAAGGCTGTTCTTATGAGGAGGGAAAACAAGCAAATTACTCATCCAGATCAACTCCAGGCTCCACACCTCCACATACTACTTCATCAGCAGCCTTTCCTTCTTAGATGTTAGCTACTTAGACCCAGTGTAATGATGACCTTTATGGCCAAGACCAAAGTCACATCATACACAGCTCAGATCTTCCTGTTCTGCATCGCAGTGACAGGAGAGTGCTACCTCTTGGCCGTGATGGCATATGGCTGGTTTATAGCCACCTGTAAGCCCTTAACTCTACCCTTGTCATTATGTCCAAGAGGCTCTGCATGCTCTTTGGGTGTGGCTTCTACTTCATGAAGTGTCTGAATGCAACTATTCAGATATTATTTATATTCTACCTGTCCTTCTGCAATTCCAACATCAATCATTTCTGTGCTGTGCCCCCCATCCCGAAGCTCTCCTCCTCTGACACATACATCACTGACCTGGTTCCTTTCACCTGTGCTACTGTGCTCATCACCTCAACCATCCTCCTCATTCTCATCTCCTACCTCTGCATCGGAGTTGCCATCCACAAGATTTAAGTCCACCAAAGGCAGACAAAAAGGCTTCTCCACCTCTGCTTCCCACCTGACTCCTGCCACCATGTTTACAGGACAGGCTCCTTCAAGTACCACCCCGTTCAAAATTCTCCACGGAGCACAAGATCATCACTGTGTTTTATGCTCTGGTGATTCCCATGCTGAATCCTATGATTTACAGCCTGAGGAACGAGGAGGTCAAATAAGCCCTGCAAAGGACAGTACAAGGCTGTATTTCTCTGTGAGTACTGCAGAGGTTCAGGAGTCCAAACAGGTCTAAAAGAACCTGAGAACTGTCAAAAGAGAATAATTAAATGTGCAAGTAGGTTGGCTGTCCCTGCCAAAGAGAGAGGAAAAGGGAGCAATATCTAAGGCTGCTTGTTGGCACACCTGTCTGTGGCAAAAGAGAGCAGGCAGGCCCCTTCCTATTGCAGGGCTCCCTATTTTTGCTCACACCCAAAAGAGGGATATGTCACTGAGCAGTCCCAAGGAACTAATTTCATAGGGTGACAATCACTCTTGCAACAGCTCCATAACATAGTAGTGCCTCACATGCGATCTCACATTGCAACCTCCGCAACTACAGGCAGCGTCAGACAAGCCCGTTGAGAATATTCGTAGGCATTTTGGTTCAAGATTTTTTTCTATTTGGAAGACAAATGTAACAGGATAAATATCAAATGTAAGACTTTATAGAGCTCTCAAACAGGACTAGGTTTTCTGGTTCTTTTATGCCAGTTGAGCCCAAGTTTTAGCAGGCAGCTCCTCCAGGCTTGCCTGTTAGATACCACACCTTCAAGGAGGATTGCTTTCGTGATGGTAACGTGCTCCCAATTTCTAGATATACTACAGCAACTCCTGTATTTCAGCTACCCAGGTACCAGCCAAAATGGTGATGAAAGAGGGACGAACAGCAGGAAACAGCATAAACTCACTTCATCTCTCTATCCATTAGGATTTTATGCAGCAAACAGCAAAAATGGGAAAAAAGCAAAACCGTAGTGGCAAACACAGCCAGAGGCTCCAGCGGTCCAGAGTACCACCTTAATGGATGCCAGGCTCACACGTAGACCCACCCAGTGGCTGCCTGATGACGAGCCCCGAGTCCAATCGACACAGCCTGGAGTCGGACACTACACTTGTATTTCTGACCATACCACACACATCAAACTTGCTTCTGCAGCCAAGGAAACCCTCGGTGTTTCTCCTAGTATCAGAGAGGGGTCACTCTGAAGGAAACTGAGGATTCCAGCAGCATCCCAAACATGCACCCAACAAGCAGAGAGAGAGAGGGGAGAGATTTCATGACTAATCCCTAAAACAATTTAATGTGTTTGGGGTTTCATTTTAAAAAGGATCAAGGATTTTTATGTCCAATTTCCACCTCAGGCAAAGTGGAGCCCTGTCTGTTTCTGCCATCTGATGTGTGGAAGCACATCACTACCTCTGTAGGATCTAGCAGGATAGAGACATCTTGTTACCATTGCGGGGTAGGACAAGGTGTTACTTGGACCATAAAGTCATTCAGCACTAGAAGAGCTCAACTATGAGTGCATTTCAGGGAGCACTGAAATTAAACCATGAACTCCCCGAGCTAAGTGGAGGTATGGTTGTTGAAAAGGAATTAGTCACGCAGCTTAGCTTAAGGATAAAGTTCAGGGTACCAACGTAGAAGCCAGTCTCTAGCAACAAGAATGACATTAGAGATGCCATTTTATGATGTCACAGGAACAAATATAACTTACTACCTTGAAACTTCTACAATTCTTCACTAGGGAAGCACCCTCTGGTTGAAAATGCTATATAAGAACACCAGGATTGTTTTTCCCCCCCTCAGCTGCTCCGATATGAGGGAATTAAGATTCAATTCAGAGCAGGAACACAGGTCACAGCAGGTCTTTCCTCAAATCCAAAAGGAATAGACACCAGAAGGCTGCCCTGACTCCCACATCTGCAGCTAGTGCTCTGTTCCAGGGTGAGAGAGAGGTCTGACAAAGCGTCCAAGACTGGGTTAGAAGGGCAGTGTAGGAAAGTGGCCCCTCACCTTTCTCCTGCTCTGCCTATCTAGTTCGGATGCATGGAATTCAATGAAAAGTCTGTGTGCATAGGTGGCAAAGCAGAAACAGCGCTGGGGCAGGGGGTCACCGTCATCTTTCTTCCACATGAACCTACGTCTCCCCTCCTTGGCTTTCCTTGCTTCCCCATTGTCCCTGCTCTGTCCTAGAAGTGACTCTGGACCCTGAGACAGCTCATCCCAACCTGGTGCTCTCAGATCACCTAGGGACACCTATTTCACCAGCATCCCCTAGGAGCTGCCATACAGCTCTTGGCATTTCACTGCCTACCCCTGGATGCCGGTATCATCTGTCTGCACCTCCAGCCACCACCGCTGAGAGGCTGAAAAACCCACAGGGCTGTGGGTGTCTGGTAGAAGTCAGGCAGCCGCCAGGCAGAGGACTCCATGCAAGGAGATGGGCTTCTGGGCAGCACAGCTGTGGCATGAAGAACATGGCCATGACCATGACCACCCCCTCTGCCCCACCACTGCTCATGGCCAAACCCATGCAGGCTAGGGTCTTCCTCAGCTACGAAGCTAGGAAAGTCTCCTTTTATAATATGACTAGTCACTCTCACATCTACACTTCTGAAGTCATCTTCACTGAACCAGTCTGTCCCCTGTTCCATCCAGGCATCTACATGGGCCACATTAACGCTGGCCCACTCGGTGCACATCAGCCCTCAGACTGGTACTCGCAGCCGATTGCTACTCTCCTATCCAACAGATACCATGCCAATCATTCAAAAAGCTAATGAGGTGTAAGAGGGAAATGCTTCCTGAGCAAGTCTGATCTCATAATCCCAGCTTTAACAGCCAGAATCTTTAGATTTACAAGGAAACCAAGCGCGGCTGCTCCTTCCCCATCCCCGTATGTCTACGGTAATTTCTGGGACCCTGCAGAGCAGTTAACTGACCCCAGAAGCAGAATGGTGCTCCAGCCCATACTGAGTTTTCCATGCACTTTTTTTTTTTTGAAGTGCAGACTGTCACTTTGTCCACATTGATGCAAGTCTTGTGATTTGTCAGATGGCTTTAGAATATATGGCTTTTTTTTTTTAAAATGGTTTCCACTGTCATAGTTCAAGAATCCCTGTGTAAACATCTGCTGATCTGCTCACAATAGGTAGATATCCCCTATTGGCAGTAGAGGGCTTCTGATCTTCCCACCCAGTTGGTGGAAACGAAATGTGACTCTAAGTAGTCTGTGTTTTTTATGGAGCAGGAACTATGGACCAGGAAAGACACAAGTTTTAATGGCATGCCAGATGAACCAAGGTGTTTAAAAAACTGAATCCCAGCCTTACTGTAGGTCAGGACATTGGACTCTGTGTGAAGCTCTGTAGCTACATGGGTAGCCTTACCAACTTCTAATGCTTGACTTTGAAATTTAAGTGGTCTTGGATGGACTTACATGCATTGTCTTAAGTTGGTGAAATATACTTAAAACAAAAGAAAATCCCAGAGAATTCAGGATGTATTACCCTAAAGAAAAGCTCTTTGGTCATTACAGTTGACTTTTGAACCCATTGTCAACATGACTGACAGCTGAGAATGGATGAAGCTTAAATTATTTCCGCTGGTTTAATATGAAGAATATGCATTTGTTACCACTAAGGTACAAATTCCTGCAGGAAAGTCATTAGCTTATCCATTACACCAAGACACAACTACAAAAAAAAAAGGCCACTAAGACGGACATCCTTGACATTTGGTTTTAGTAAGGAGTAGTGTGCAAACAACAAAGTCACATCAGTTATTTAACACCAGGCGCAACAGCTGGAATGACATGCCACAGCACTTTAACACAGCCCGAGGTCCATCTCGGGCTGTAAGAGTTTATTATCCCAGCACAGAGCCTCGTAGCTAAGATATACACAGATTTATAGCCACAACACACAGAGGAGACTGCACAGCACTCCCTGTCTCCGCACATCCATTTTCACCTTTTCATCAGCCACGCCTTCACTTTTTGCCTGGAATGAAGCACTGTTCCTAGTTATGGACTCACACAGACCTAAAGCACGCTCTGTAAGCCTTCCTTCAGTCTGCCAACACTGAGAAAAGCCAGGACATGCCTGTGCAATGGTCACAAAGCCCATGACCGCAAAGCCTCCTTTCCCCCGACTGGCCATAGAAACCTATCTCATGTATGGACACCAGCATAGGTGACACCTGTAGTTTACAGTTGATCTGCACCCTGGCAGACTGATTGAGATACATGGTGCAAGCTATGGCCAGATTGTGCCTCATGGCACTGCAGGTGTTGCAGTTGGATTCTTGGCATGCTGCTTGAAAACATACCCAAACTGGTGACCTTAAATGATGGCAAAGGAGCCTTCCTTCCAGTCAATCTCCCACAGAGGACATGCTTACATTTTCTGCAGGAGCAATGTGGTCAATAAGAGGCACCAGTCCTATAAGCTGCTTTTGTACAGAAGAACGTATATCTAAGGGTGCCTACAGCACCGGTTCCCAGCACTCATGCTCCAAGACATGCATCTAACACCTGTGTCTAAGGCTGAGGCTCTCATCTAACCTTCCTCTGTGCTCAGTGGAGAAACAACATTACCAGCTGAAGTCCTCTCCTCCTGTGATAATGGCCTAAAGCTGTGCCATCCAGTTGGCCTCCCAGAGGTGCACACCTCTCCCTTTTAACTGTAAAGGGAGCCCAGAGAAGGACTTTTGATTCCAGCATCTAACTTTTAGATGGTTAAAGTTAGAGAAGATCAGTCAAACTGCAGTGCCGATCCAATCACTAGGGCTCCAGAGGACACCAGAGACCGAGAGAGATGTTCTTGTCTTGTTAAAGCAGTTCTTACCTGGCTGATCGCTCTTCTTAGGGCACATTTAATCTCTTTGTTCCTCAGACTGTAGATTATGGGGTTTAGCAGGGGAGTGAGGATTCCATAGAACATAGAAACTATCCTATCCTGATTAGGTGAGTAGGTGGAGGAAGGCCGTACATATGTGCAAATGGTGGTCCCGTAGAAAAGGCATACTACTGTCAAGTGAGAACCACAGGTGGAGAAAGCTTTGTGCCTGCTCTCAGAAGAGTTCATGCACAGGATAGCCAAGAGGATGTAGATATATGAGATCAGAGTGACCACAAAGGCACCGCTTCCAAGGACCCCAGCAACTGTGAGAATTACCAGTTCCCTACTGTAAGTAGGCGAGCAGGAGAGGGCCAGCATAGGAGGAATATCACAGTAATACTGGTCAACTTCATTAGAATCACAAAAAAAGAGTGTAAAAATCAAAGATGTGTGCAACAGAGAATTAAAAAGTCCTACTACCCAGGTGCCAATGGCGAGGTGAGCACACAGTTTCATACTCATGATATTCATGTAGCGCAGCGGATGACATATTGCAACGTACCGGTCATACGCCATCACAGCCAAGAGAAAAATATCTGTGCCTACAACGTCAATGAGAAAGAACAGCTGGAACATGCAGCCAGTGAATGAAGTCACCTTGTTCTCAAGCAACAAGGCCTCCAGCATCTTCGGCACAGTGATAGTGGGACATAGGATATCCAGTAAGGACAAGTTGCCAAGGAAGAAGTACATGGGGTTGTGCAGACGAGTGTCTGTGCTAATGGCAACAAGGATTGTGATGTTGCCTGCCATGGTGGCCAAATAAATGATCAAAAACAGCACAAAGAGAAGAAAACGGACTTCCGGAGTATCAGAAAGGCCTACAAGAACAAATTCAGATACCGTTGATAGGTTGACCCTCTGCATCTTATCTTTCATTGTGGAAATGATTGCAGAGGTTTACCTGGAAGAAAGAAGTTATAACAATCAAAATCGCATCTCCCTTCTAAGAAGGATGATTTTTTGGGGTCTATTTAGCAGTTCAAAAACATTTGCAAGTTTGCATTGCCACACTCAAAATCTAGATTTTACTCACATATACTCAATGTAAAAGGCAAAATATAAGTATTAAGCTTAACAGTGATTAATCAAAAAAGTTTAATTCTTGCAAGCCATCTTCTCAGACTGAAGAGCTGAAAGTTGAAGACTTTGGTACCTCCTCTGTGGTAGCCAGCTTGGTTGGACACAGCCCCGAGCAACCTGACTGGGCTTTGAAGGTAGCTGTAGTCTGAGCAAGGAAGGTGGAGTACAGATCTCTAGAAATCCTTTCAGCATAAGTTATTTAGTGATAATAATAATATCACCAAAGGGGTCTAGATTACTAGCTGAAGTTAAAGACCTAACTTTTTAAGCAAGTAATGCTATCACAGAAGAATTAAATGCCTGGTGACCAACAGGCAGGTAGTATACCCCCAGTTTTTCAGCTTCATCCGGTGGGATATAAGAAGAGAGATAATCTAGTATCCAATTAAAGACCTCCCTCCTTTCTATAAATTTTACCCTATAGACTTTCATAACAGTATTACTACTTTTAGGATCTAGCTGGACTTCCCCCCTCCTTTTCCCAATTCAAAGAAGTCTGGGAAGACTTGGCATCAAAGGATCTTTCCATCTACCCTGCACTGCTACATGGAATGCAACTCGGTACTTCCAGTAACAATTTGCACAGTAGCCCTATAGAAAAATAAAGCAAAGTTTGGCCCAAGTGCCTCCTTGTTTGCAGATTAAAGCATGATGAGGCCGTGTGAATATTGTAACATTCTCATCTGTAAAAGATATAGAGAACAAATTAAATAGGTGGCTACGATACCCCATCTGAGACAGGTTCATCTAGTGTCTCGTGTGCTCACAGAAGCTTCCTTCCAGTTTGAAAGCGACCAAAGTCAGAGCTTAAACTGCTCTAAGAAATTTTTAGTCAGCAGAAATAAAACGCACATGGTGCTTTAAATCACAGCATCACTTGTTCTAAAAATGAGGAATTATTCAGGTGAAACAACAGAAACTTAACACAGAAATACTCACTGCTACAGAGAATTAATTACTGGTAATTTATAGTCATCTGTATCTCCAGGAAACATTACTATTCTTTTTCTTCTTTCTATATCTGATTAGAATATCTACAGATGACAGGAAAAAATATTTCACTGTAGACTCAGGAGCATCAATCTATTAAGTGATGGATCCAGATTTAGCAGTATAGGAATATTCATACAGACATCCACAAGCACTGACAAAAATGCTAGCTTGACTGTACAGGTAAGCGCCTCTTCTCTTTAATGAGGTTTTATAAACACGCGAAGATGTATCTGGGGAGGAGTGTCTCCGAAGCTTTTTTGGATGCTACCTTCATTGCATGTATGAGGCTTTTTCAGAATATTGTCAGAGGGGGCTAGAAATGTGATAAACTTTCTCCACCCTGAATCCTTTGATTCCTATGACTTTCATGTTGTAGGACCTTTTTAAAGGGCTGTGGTTTGATACTTGAGTCTACTCCCAGGAAAAAGAAACAGATGGTCTTGTTCTGCCAGCCCACCTCAGGTGCCATTCCAGATTAAGAGTTTTACATCTCACAAGAGTCCAGTGTTCCAATTTCTTTAAGTTAAACTAAAGCCTTAAAATCACTCGATCACAAATTGTTTTCAAACCGATTTGTCTTGCTCTGGAGCCTGAAGCCTATTGCTTACACATATTGGGTCAAAATAAATTTGGCAACAGCTACTCTGCAAAAGAGCATGCCTCAGACCAGGGCAGTGGTTAAGTGTCTTTGCAGGGTAAAGAGCAGAACCTGAGTGAGTGCTGTGGAGCAGTTGTACTGGTGTTGCAAGGGCAGCTAGCACAGCATCATGTGCCAGTGTAAATCCCTTCCGTGTTGGTTTTATGGGCAATCTTTAATTCTTCTGCAGGAGCAACCTTTTAATTTTGTATAGCTCCTACAGAAATGACAGAAGATAAACCACCTGTGAAATGTGTGCACTACTTGAAGCAGATGTGCACCCTGGCATAAGAAGGAACATAAATTACCAGCACTACTTTGAACAGCTAACAAAATTTCCATTCTGGTTCCAGAAAGCATCTGTGCATTATACATTCATTTATGGGAGCACCACCTTCCATCTGATATATTCCATCCAGCATTACCTGCCCATAACTTCTGCACTGTTAACATGAATGATACTCTTTGTCAATCATTCTCAAACCCTGTTTGCTATGTTTGCAGTGTGTGACTCTTACAAAATTAAGACTTCCGCGTATACGTCAGAAGATCGGTTGGAGT